ACAATAATCAATAAACAAGAAAATCTCTGATTAACACATTCAAGATAATGCCGTTTATGAGTTGTCATTAAAATAGGCTATGTCCAAATTATTCACACGCTGAATTTGAATACCGTCCCCATTTAAGCAGTAGCGCCCTAGATTGTACTCCACGCATTGTAGGCACACACATCTAAGAAATTGCTGAGCATCACGAAGTGGAATGGTGCATCATGTCGAACAATAGCATTCAATTTTTTGTGCAGACCAAGTAAGCACACTATAGGCCGATTCTTCAGAGGAAACTTCAAAAATTTCGCGCTTATATGAGAAAGCTCCTGTAGCCTAAAGAAAGGTGTGGAAGGAGAGGAAAGACGGATGAAAAAGAAAAACCACGTCTAGAAAAAGAAGTTCAAGCTTTAAGGAGCAACGATTTCCCCGATGACTTCTGGTGTAACCTGCCAGTGGTTCCTCTGCTATCCTTAATTACGCTGCGCTACAATTCAATGGCAAAAACATGATTGAAGTTGAATTTTGACAAAGATGATTGATTGAATCTATAAATTTAGTCCGCTAGTTTTGAGCAAGACTTTGAATTCAATACAGATTGAAAATTCAAGTGTAAAACAACAACTTTAGTTACATACCTTCACATTTCCTTTAATTACCATTGACGTAATTACAAAGAAGAAGGCTTTTTTTTCTCAATTTCGTCGAAGTTTGGCATGTACAAAAACGGCATCGACTCAAGCGGCGCAGTGTAGTGATGGTAAGGCAGAGACAATCCGGAGGCTACCCCACAATGCATGGCGGCAAGTATTTGCCTCATGACGAAGCGCCGCACTAAGGGTACCTCCATACTACATAGCAATCGCCCGATCCTTAAACGCTTTTAAGCGCAATAAGAATCGGCCGAACGGGGATGCGCGGCGGCTGTGTTGCGGTCTTCTGTTAAGTACCGATTTGGCATAATTCGGCTCTAACCCAATCTTTCCTCACTTTTTCTTCCGAATTTGACTAGCTCCCTTCTTTAGGTTGTTTAGAGTTTTCAAAAGTCGTCAGCAAGTGTGGCGGAAAGATGAGTACCGAAAAACAGGCAAAATAATATTTGACTGCGA